CATCTAGTTCGAGTGGTATGTTTAGCTTATTTAAGCCTTGCTTCTGTGTTAGATGAGTTGATGCATATTTTACTACTCCAACACTGCATGTGATTTGTTCATCAGGTTTGTTTTCTAGTTCATTGTTTGCATCAGAGTCATATAATACCCCCTCATTTTTCTTTTTTCTTCTTTTCAATGATATTTAAGGTCTTCATGTTCATTAAGAATTGAAAGTGTAGTCTGTTTTTGTGCCATTAATGTCTCATCAGTATCTTCGTTGCTTAAATTTGAAACTTCTTTGAGCTTTTGTTCTATTTGTTGACTTCTCTTCTTGCTGATTTGTTGATCTATTATGTTAAGTTGTTGGTCATTTGATTATAATCTATATATCAATGCATTTATAACCCTTTGACAAGTTGATGATGTTGCATAATGTAATTACTGCCATAGATCTTGTTCATTGATCAATTGCTAATTCCTTTTCTTATTCATTTTTTACATGAACTCATCTGTTTGAGTCCATTTAGACTCTCCATCCCCTTGCATTCCTTCCTTTTCAAGTCAACCTCCATTAAGATGTGAAAGAGAAGCTGATCTTATTGGGTTAAAATCCAAATCGGTGACAACAGCTCAGTAGCGGAATAATAACAGTCCTAAAGGGTTGAAATTTGAGTTTTTGGACTTTAAAGTCCAGTAAAACCAGCAGCACCAGCAGCCTTGAAAAGGCCAAAAAAGGGGAAGTTATTATTATTGGGTTAAAACTCAATAAGACATCAGCATCAATAGCCTAAAGGGGCTGGAAAATTGAGAGTTGGACTTAGAAAAGTCCAAGTTGAACTCAGCAGCAGCGGCCAATTGCTTTTGGACTAAAAGTCCAAATTCTTTTAAATTTCCTCATTCTTATCATGTTGGATGTGTTATTATCTATTATATTATTTGCTTACTAATCTTTGTTAATTTAGTTGAATCCTTGGGGAGATTTTTTTATTTAAGTATTCAAATTTTTAAAACATCTTTTAAGTTAGGCAATCTAAGCTTCAAGACTTACTTGAAAATTATCCATATTCTTTCATAGTTAATATTTATCTTGATTCAAATCCATGCCTAAGTGATTGTGTTGATTATTCGACTCAAACACTTGATTCGGATAAACTGTTACGTTAAAATTTTATTTCGACACTTTAACATTTGAAATATTTCATTATTTGAGATAATACGAATATATAAGTATCAAAAAATTTCTCTTTTTCAAAAAAATAAGTTTTTTAAGTAATTTAAGTTCTCTTTATAAAAAAAATTAGTCAAGCTTTTTAATCCGCCGATCAACCGTGTGTTAGCGAATTCTCTAAGATGCCTAAACCCTTCCTTAGAGAATTATTTGAACCCTTACCGGAGACTCTGGTTTATTAAAGTTTTTATTCAAAAAGTTTTCTTTTTTAAAAAAAACCTTTCCAAATGGTTTCTTAATTTTTCCTAAAATTAAGTGGCGACTTCAAATAAATTGTAATTTTTTTCCAAAATCAACAAATTGCCAAAGTTGCGAAAATGGTTTCAAAACCTTAGTTTTCGAAATCGCGTCATAACATTTAAATTTTGAATAATTCAATTATTTTGAAAGGCCAAAAAATCAGCGAAAATATAACCAAACGTTTTCGTCATGTTTGATTGTGAAAATTCTGATAAAGTCATTTTAATTATTAAATATGTGATAGGCATGTGGGACAGGAAGACCGGCCAGATAATTAGAGATAGACAGGCGGCTCCACTTGGTAGTACACCACTTCTTTTTGTAGTTTATAGCTTTTATTATGTAAAAAAAAATAAAAATGTATAAAATAACAAATTATTAATTCAAATTAAATGTTATAACCACAGTTTAATTTAATTGTAATCGGTAGCAAACAGTTGTCATTCGTCTCTCTTCCTAGGTTTCTCGCTCGCCTCTCTCTCTTTTATAAAAACACAAATGTATAAAATGCGTTTTTGTTTGTATAAAGCGAGAGAAAACTGTATATACAAATACGACTATGTATGTTTTTGTCTTATACACTTATAATTACACAAATACAGATCTTCCTCTGCTCAGTTCTCTTTTACCTTTCTCTCTTTCTCGCTTTATACAAACACAGATTGTACAAATTACAATGTATAATTTGTATTGTATAAAGCGAGAGAGAGAGATTTGATATACACATATTCTATTTCGATTCAATTATATACAAATTTAAATTTTAAGCAGATATACAAACATATAAAATTGAATTGAGAGGCTAACATCGATTTATACAAACGAGAGACTGCCAACAATTTATACAAATGGCCTGCCAGCGAAATTATACAAATCTGAAGTTCTTGTCAGTGAGTTATACAATTTGATGCTCCATAGCAAATTTTATGGAGTGCAATTATACAAACTATAGCTATAACATATATATATATATATATATATATGATTTTATGTTTGCTATATCTGAAAATTGCTAAAAATAAAAATAGGTAGCCCATCTCTATCGACAGAGGAATACATGACAATTGATAAACATCTGCTCAATGCTTTGTGTTCCGTCTTTTTCTTCCTCTCAAAATTACCTTGAGTTGACGTATTTTTCAACCTGGATTGTACAGGTTAAAGAATATATTTGAAATATATAATTTTTTTATATAATAATATAAAGTGGTTATGTATTGTTTTATAATGTATCGTATAATATTGTGTTGTGTTGTATTGTATTGTATTGTATTGTACTGTACAGTATTATTATAATGAATATAGTGTTTAAATAAATTGTATTGTTCTTTGTCGTTATCTAATGTCACACATTTATAATTTGAGTGATAAACCTAGCAGAAAAGTAGGGTATGGTAAAGCTATTATGAAAAAATAGGAGTACAAGATGAAATATGATTATTAAATAATAAATAAGATAAAATGAGAAGAATATATTATGGTAACGACGTGATCACACCAAATCGATCGTTACATAAAATGAGTCTTTTTGTTGTTACCTAACGATGAATTTAAATGATAAGATACAATATAATTTAAGTAACAATCAAAATAAACGTTGTATTTTAACAAACAATACAAAACAATAAAACAGGTACCAACCATCCAAACAAGGTATAAAATAGTGGAAAACTTCATAATTTTTCCACATAAAACCGTTATTTTTTTTTCTTTCACATTGATTCAATTAAAATATTATAAAAATAGCTACTAGTCATTTTTAAATGAAAAAATAGTGATTTTTTAAAATAATATTGGTCCCTAATCTCATCGTGTTTTTACATCAGGTTAAGAGTCACACGATTGAATGAAAACTATTTATTTATCGTGTTACCGGCTAGAGTATGATTTATCTCAATTATTGTGTAATAATGTTGGATTTTTATGCTTAATTTTAGATGTGAAGTGTCGTGTTAAAAAGTTTCACATCGGATAAAAAGTGATAAATGGTCTTCTTGTAAGATTTGGACAATCTTCTTGTTAGAAGCTAGTTTTTAAAGGTTGATTTAATTAAGCTCAAAATTCATTTATTTACTACATCAAACTACTATAATTTATTAGAAATAAATAATTTAATAAAGTTACATTATTTAACTATAGTTAAATGATAAGAATGTATAGTTTAACACATATTATGTATTTATTAGCTTCAATTTAAACATACGTATTATGTAGTTCATATATATCTTTCATTTTCGCTCCTTTTCTATAAAAATAAAAACAACAAAAACCAGTGTATCATGTGAGTATTAAACTAAACTTAAGTCAACTAATAAGGATAAAATAGAAATTTTAAGACTTTCTAATTTTTGAAAAGAGGATGCCTTATATTTAAACAGACTATAAAACCGTGCAAATAAAATAGGATAACTTGTTTGAATAGTTGTTACATATTTAATTCATGTTTATCGAATGTGCCTTTAGTTTAATTTATATCAATTATTTTTAATTATAAATTCAAAATGCTGTCATATTATTTTACATTGTTATATAAAATCATACCTCAACAATCTTAAGAATAAATTTATAATAGGAAAATTACATGGATAAGCAAATATATACTAGTTAACTAGTCATCATAGCTATAGTTGTAGTTAGGCATAATACATAAACATGACCCTTAACTTGGCGTCAGCTGACAACTATGACCTTTAACTTTGGGTGTGCACAAGCAGACACTTAAACTTGTATAAAATTGAACAAATAGACACATTCATCTTACTGCTCGCGATCAACATTTAATGATAATTATGCAGGCTAGGGTTTTGAGTTTGCCTAATTCGCACGTTTGTATAATATAATTGTACAACTTTTGTATAATGTAATTTTGTATAATATAATTTGTATAAATGTTTAAAGTTTAGGTGTTTGAGTTTATACAAAAATAGCTCAATTATACAAATATACCCGTGAATTATACAAACTCACTCGTGATTATATAAACGATGCAACTTAAAGCCTTAAATTGTAGCTACAGCCTGTAAATATGCAAACTATAGATGTGGAGCATAATTAAGTTTATTATATTAGTTATTTGGGAAAATTCCCTGTAATAATATATTAGGTAGAAGAGTAAGAAATGAGGTAAGATTAGTTTTTTTAAAAAATAGGATAAAAGATTTTAAAATATATTAAATAATAATAAAATAAAGGAGAAAAAAATAAATTAATCATACCAAATCTATTGTTACGTAAAACAAAATCCCCACTCTTACATAATCATATATTTTAAGATTACACATGTTCGTAGAGGTTCAAATAAAATTCTCATTGTTACGTAACCATATATTTTAAGGACACACATATTACTAGAAGTTCAAATAATATTCTCATTGTTACACAACCATATATTTTAAGGAAACACATGTTACTAGAGGTTTAAATAATAGTAGAGATTCAAATAAAATTATCATTGTTACATAACCAACATGGTATAGAGATTTAAATAGAAGGATTATTAATCCGCCCAAAGTTATGTTGAAATGAGTTGAGATTATAAATGAACGAGTTCATAACCCGTCACAATGAATTGAGAAAGGAGGCTCTAGCTTATACCTTGCTGTGCTCCTCTGATCTATTCTCATCAAAAAGAGAGTAATCAAACGCAACGTATCCCCACACCCCCATACCCCACCCCACCCAACTTCATTCATTCATAAACAAAAATTGAACTTGAAGATAAAAAATCTGAAGCTCTAAATTGGCTTGATCTGATTCTATGACGATTTATTTGAAAGAGAGATTTGGCTATTTTTTCAATAACAGATGGCTCGTGTTCGTTGCCGCAATGTGGATTCAAACTTGTGCGGGCATTGGATACTTATTCGGCAGTATTTCTCCAGTAATTAAAATCTCTCTGAATTACAATCAGAAACAGATTGCTCGATTGGGTGTGGCTAAAGATTTGGGTGATAGTGTTGGATTTTTAGCTGGTACTTTGTGTGAAATTTTGCCTTTATGGGCTGCACTTCTTGTTGGTGCTATTCAGAATTTTATTGGATATGGTTGGGTTTGGCTTATTGTTACTCGAAGAACTGCACCTTTGCCATTATGGGCTGTGAGTACACTACTCTTCTTCATTCATCTTCCTTCAAGTTTTTGATCCAAAATTTTATTTTCTATTTAAATAAAAAAATTTACGAAACTTTAACTATAGAAAATGATATTTCTTAATTGAAGCTGGAAACAAGTTTCACAAGTGATTCAATTGACTGTGTTCTTGTCAACTTATAACACATCTCATCTTCATCTCAATCGCGCAGTTTTTTTTTTTTACTTATACTATCGTACACAGAAAAAAAAAAAAAAAACGTACATATTATTATCCTGTTTTTTTTTGTTTTTTTTTTTTGCTTATGAATCGAACACAAAAATTTCTAAAAATATTTTCTTAGGAAACAATTTTCATAGAAAATTTCTCCGCACTGAACGCACCTCTATCTCTATGAGTTTTCTTTGAAACAAGACTCTTGCTGTCCACTCATTTCATTTGTACCTTTTTGCTGTCGTTGGACGTTGAAAAGTTTGCATTTTTTTATATGATATGCATTAAATTAATTGGATTGTCACCAAATCATATTTTTTTGTTTGCTTTGTCAAACACAAAAACTAATTTTCAAAAAGTTTGGTGTGGCACTCTTGCCATCTCAACATGCGTTGAGCTCAAATGGCCTCGAAGTCGAAAAACATGTTTCTGTCCGGAGCAGATCCAAAGTTTTAGCCACGGGTTAACAAAACTAATAATTTTTTTGCTAATACTTGTGTATTAAAAAATTCACTAGTATGTTATAAATATTTAATTGTGAACCCAAATTAATTTGAGATTATTGTAAGAAATTCATAAATTTCAAATTTTGGATTCAGTTTTGTTTCTGCATACTGATGCATTCAATAATTCTGTTTATTTTTCCTAGTCTGACATTTCTATTTTGAGGAAGTATTTAGTGTAAAAACAAAGTTGGAATACTATATATATACCCCGTAAATCGTAATACTCCCTCTGTCCACAATTGTTTGGCAGGTATACTAAAAATAGATGTCCAAGATTAATTGTCAATTTAAACAATCAAGAAATAATTAGTCACTTTTTTCCAATTCTACCCTTAATGATTGTGTAGTTCAATTGAAAAGTTATGTGGACTTTTGGTATTCTTCATATAGTAGGGTTATATTAATCAAATTACACCTTGTATTAAATTTTCCTTGCATGACCTTACCCTGACAAACAATTGTGGACGGAGGGAGTAGTAAATGTTAGACAAGCATTTGTGCCTTGTAAAGAAAGGTAACAAGTGTACTTTTCTCTTAACGAATGGAGACAAAAGTGCTTGTGTCCACTCGTCCAAGTTGATACCTTACATGTGACATATCAAACAATCCCCTCAAAGTGCTATTTAAATTGCATCCGTATCTCCTCAGTTTAGGAAAGTATTTATATATATATATATATATATATTTATATATAAGATGAGATATAAATACCCTCTAGATTATGATCGAAATTTCAGAGACACTTTAACTAAACTAATGTCTTATTATTCCCAAACCCTTTTTTTTTTGTAATTTTGTACATTTTCCATACGCCTCAACTATGCGGAGTCAGGGAGTATGCCACATAAGCCAAAAGGTGTACAAAATTACAAAAAAATGAGTTGAGGTAATAGTACCTTAGTTTAGTTGAGGTGTGTCTATGAAATTTCAATCATAATCTAGTGTTACTTGTGCCTTATCTTATCACCAATAAGCCCTGCTTGATTGGAGTTGAGGCATAGTACCAAAGTTTGCACTTGGATATCGATATTAAACATAATCAATACTCATTCTGCTTCTCTCAGATAGTTGGTCATTGACCTCAGTCCCTATATTGCTGACCATCATAATGAATTATGTCTTATCCATGACATAAATTGGGCATAACTTATTAGTGTCAACTAGAGTGCAAAATTGTCACACATTCCTTGTTTTCTCTAACAGTTGACTTAAGTTTAACCATTTCTCTGCAGATGTGCATTCTTATATTTGTAGGAACAAATGGTGAAACCTACTTCAACACAGCAGCTTTAGTCTCTTGTGTGCAAAATTTCCCGAAAAGTCGTGGTCCTGTGGTTGGGATTCTTAAGGGATTTGCTGGGTTAGGTGGTGCTATTTTAACTCAGATATATGCAGTAATCCATTCCCCGGATCACGCTTCACTTATATTTATGATTGCCGTTGCACCAGCAATGGTGATTATAGCTCTCATGTTTATAATCAGGCCTGTTGGAGGCCATAGACAAGTTAGGCCTTCTGATGGTTTAAGTTTTTCATTTGTTTACAGTATATGCCTCCTTTTAGCTTCTTACTTAATGGGAGTTATGATTGTTGAAGACGTTGTTGATGTTAGCCAAAATGTTATTGTAATCTTCACAGCTATTCTATTTGTTATCTTGATAATCCCTATTGTGATCCCTATCTATTTGAGTTTCACTCAAGAGCCAAGAGTAGTACCAGAAGAAGAGGCACTTCTATCTCAGTCAGGTGATCAAGGTCCTGGCAGATCAGAACACGACGATGGTCAAGAAATTATATTTAGTGAGGTTGAAGAGGAGAAACCGAAGGGAGTAGACTTGCTTCCTGCTTTAGAAAGGCAGAAAAGAATTGCGCAGTTACAAGTGAGACTAGCACAAGCAGCTGCAGAAGGAGCTGTGAGGATCAAAAGAAGACGAGGTCCTCGTAGGGGAGAGGACTTTACTTTAGTCCAGGCTATAATAAAAGCAGATTTCTGGCTTATGTTTTTCTCACTGCTTTTCGGTTCTGGATCTGGTTTGACTGTCATTGATAACTTGGGACAGATGAGCCAATCTTTAGGATACGATAACACACATGTATTTGTTTCCATGATCAGCATATGGAACTTCCTTGGCCGTATTGGAGGTGGATACTTTTCTGAGATAATCGTCAGGTATTAACTTATCTTTACATGAATATTCAAATCTCATAAATCTCTCACACGACCTTGTCAAACAGGGATAATGCATATCCAAGGCATGCAGCTATGGCTGTTGCTCAAGTCGTGATGGCCTTTGGTCATTTCTTCTTTGCTATGGGTTGGCCTGGAGCTATGTATATTGGTACTCTTTTGGTTGGACTTGGTTATGGAGCTCATTGGGCGATTGTGCCAGCTGCTGCTTCTGAATTGTTTGGGTTAAAGAATTTTGGGGCTTTGTACAATTTCCTCACTATTGCCAACCCAGCTGGTTCATTAGTATTCTCAGGTCTTATTGCTAGTAGTATATATGACAGGGAAGCTGAAAAGCAAGCTCAACAGCCCCATGAAGGACGTTTGAATTTGGCGTCGGTTTTGACAAGTTTTTTAAACATGGATGAACCTCTAAAGTGTGAAGGTACCATTTGCTTCTTTTTGACTTCCTTGATAATGTCAGGACTCTGCATTGTTGCAGCTGTTCTAAGCATGATTCTGGTGTACCGCACAAAGACAGTGTACGCTAATCTGTATGGAAGATCTCGTACGTAATGTATCCTCGAAGGATAGAAATATAAGCATCCTGAAAAAAGACATCGTCTGCCAATTCATATTTCCAAATATCATTATAATGTGACACTAGAAACCATCACCAGAATACTTCCAGGTGAGAGCAAACGACGAAGAAGACAATAGCCTGGTTTTGCTGTTGCAAAAGTATTCCTTGGTTGAGTGAAATAATATTTGTATTGCAAGTCATTTCTGTATATTTGTAATTTCTCAATCTTCAAGTTTGTTAAATTTTTTATTGTCAACCACCATCAGTAAGAGTGTTGATTGATTTTTTGCTAATTGGCAAATCCTTTTCTGTCAGAGATTGGTCCAGTGACATTGATAACAATGACGACAATAACATACCTAATTTAATTTTAATCCCACAAAGTGAGATCTGGAGAGGCTAGGATGTACTTGCACCTTGTCCCCTACCTTGTGAAGGTAGAGAGGCTGGCCGCTCAGTTATTTTAGAATAAGTTCTTGATAGCAGCAGCTACACAGATGACATCTAACTATACACAATAATGAAGAAAACATGCAGATTAAGTCAAAGCTGAACACCATGAAAAATATCGAGAGATTATAAGAAAAAACAGTCTTATTTGATCTATTACACCAGAAAAAAAGTCTTTAAAGAATTCACCAGAAAGTTTTGAAGTTTCAGTAACTAGCTAAATGACAGGCATAAATGCCTAGCGCCCTGTTTATGCAAAAGGAAAAACTCTAATAAAGTATCTTCACCAGTAAAGCTGTATTTATGGCTTTCATTGTGGAGGCGGTGGTGGTGGTGGCGGCATATTAGATTTTGCAAATCCCACCCATGCAACTATGCCAACGGCAAGTATAACCCATCCAAAAATGTCATACTTGAGATCACTGCTCTTCGTCTTTTTTGAACTCTGTAATGCAAGAGCAGACACATAATGGTGAATCAGCAACAATATAGACAGATCGAAAATGAATCTAACAAAACCACCAGATTTTCACAGAGCTTCAGTACCAGTCTTAAGAGGACTTTAACTTTCAAATTATTCACCAGGGAGGATAAAGGAATCTTAACATTCAAAGGCGTACAAAATAAAAGAGCAAAAATTAGACTCTGTGAGGAAGGCATCACGACTTATTCTGGACAACAATTTAAATGGAAAAAAAAAATCAAGACACATCGATTAGTAGGATTATACTGAACACAGAAGATAAGATATTGCTCCTATCAAGAGATAAGGGGTGAGAACTAAAGACTAAAGAGATACCTTTGTGCTTGTTGATGTTGAAGGTTCTGCTGCCATAGTTTGTTGCATGGGACCATGTCTGTGGATTTCCATGTGCAATTCTGGAGCCTAAATATAATGTAGAAGAGCATAAATCGAGACTCCCAACCATAAAACGAGACATTTCATGAGTAAAGATATCACAAATTTGACAAATTAAAACAAACTAAACAATCGTTAATTTCCATAAGCTGCACCACCTAGTCAGGACATTTCTCAAGCTTGTTTGTTTCGACATATCAGCATATTCTGACACTCAACCATTCATTACCAAAGACAATATGCAACTCAATCAAGGAAATGTTGGAACCAAATAGTCGGGAGGGGGGGAGGAGGAGGGGGGGGGGGGTTTATACAAAGATTACCCACCATTCTTTGGAGAACTAAAATCTGCAAGGTTTAGGATAGATATATGCAAACAACGAAAAAATAAACACCTTTTTGTGCAAGCAAGTACCATTGCATGCCAGCACACATTTGCTCAACAAAAGCTAAGCAATCAGAAAGTTAAGGGAAAGTATAGTCATCTTAGTACATCTCATTACTATGTCCACAAATATGACAATAAAAGCTAGATTTAACTATATTACACTAACATCCATTCACCTTATAATAAACCAATTTCTATACATAATCTTATATGCAAACCAAATCCCCCACCCTCAGAGGATTGCTTTGCCATTGGGAACATCCTCAACCAGCCTTTGGCTTGTGCTTTCCAATTCAGCCTTCTAAGGGTTTGGGGAATATACCAGTAGGGGAGAGAAAGGGAGGGAGGATTCATCGACAGAGACCACAACCAAAAGTCAAAAGATCAAAAAGGTGTTAACATGACATCAATATCATAGTAGCATTTTCAGTGTCATCACTCAATGAGACGATGTTCCACTTGGATGCATAATGCACCTTCCATATAGCTTACGATAATAAACATACTAAGATGCCTGGAGAGGAGGAAAAGCTTTTAAGTCTGAAACCTTAACAAATCTCTCATACAGTAAATGTTGAATGTTGTCCGTATAAAGAAATTCTCAGCAGAGGAACAAAAAAAATTCACTTTGTTCCAATGTGGGCTCCGGACACCGGGTGGGAAACCAAAAAAAAAATCACTTTGTTCCATTTTTAGTAAAATAGTGAAGGATATCCCATTAGTTGTTCAAGTTGATTAGAAGGTGCAGAATAGCTAGGATTGAATGCAAAAAGTATGAAAAAACATCTCGTAATGTATTTAACGTGAAAATATTCCTAGGATAGGGATCTTTTGCGTTGCAACCAGATATAGCAACTGTCAAATGCTACTGTCGAGTCCCACATCGTGAGAGGGTTGATTAGGTCTCTTTATATGGTTTTGAAAATCCTCACCTCTTGATCTATCTTTTGGGGTTGAGTTAGCCACAGACTCCATTTTCTTATCATGGTGACAAGTTCATCCCAATTCTTTGTTTATCCGATGTTGGCCCCCCATGTTATATTGTCCACATTCTAAAGACCAATCCCGGGCGTGTGGAGGTTTTGTTGAGTTCCACATTGAGTGTGGGAGGATTGATGGGTCTTGGGCAACCCCCGCCACTTAAGCTAGCTTTTGGGTTTGAGATAGACCCAAGGACCATTTTCTTATCATATCCAGACCCTTGTGAAATCCACTTCTACACCAACGAAACCAAGGAAATACCCAGCCAGCCAAACACCAGACTGATACCTAATAAACTCCAACGGAACCTAGAATCTCAAACCCCATAATTTTTGTGAATAGCAATAGAATAAAATAAAGGGATACTTAAGAAGATGTAGCTTCGGCCATCCAGTTTACCAAACATAAACTGAAGTACACACTACCTATACACTCTGTACGTGTTATGTTAACAAGATGGCCCAAAGGTATTGGGCTGTAATTTACTAATTTTTCCTAAAATAAATATTGATGTGGAAAAAGAATTTGCAAAATTTTGAACTTCCCTTTTTCCTGCTAGATAGGTAAATTCTGAAGGATGCAGTCACTTGGTAGTGTACTGATTGGTGCATCTTTGCTTCAGATTTTATCCCAGTTCTTTCTTAATTTCCTTCCTTATTATGAGTCCTAATTTCATTTTCCTTATCTGTTGCTACTTTTGTGAACTCCTAGCAATGTAAGGAATGGAAACCGAAGAAGACATCAAAAGACCTTCAGGAACAAAAGTAGTATGATGAGCAAATTGATGCACATACTAGCAGCACATATATAATATTTTTATTTTTATTTTGAACATTGGTAAAGTATCACATATATAATATGCTGCATGAGCACATGTATCGAGGAATAACACATATTTTGATAGAAGTTCTTATTTTTCATTTTTAAAGTAATTGCACTTCATCTCCCTCAATATCAAAGTTGAATGGCCATCCAACAATAAGTGTTCTGGCATTACAGTAAAGCAATCAACTTTATGTGACAATCCATCCATCCTTTACCGCAAGATGTTTTCTTATTTATCAGTCTCTAAGATAATAGATATGAAATAACTGTTTCACCTACGTAAACCGCACATACAGACCTACAACATGGCTAACTATAGCTCAATGTCAAACTAACCAAAACTGAACAGACATTCTAAAGCAATCAGTTTTGAGTGTACATCAAGTCAATCAGCTTGGGCTATATTCAAGCTAGCAACTTTGACTTCTAATCTAATTACCCGAACAGACACAAACTGAAAGTTATTGGATTGGACAAGTAGTATGTTATCAAACACAGAGTGAAAAAAGCGATTCAACATTCTATAAAGTAACATGATTCAAATTATGTCAAATAATTACAACTCAGTTAAAATCATAAATTGAAAAATATTGGCATTTATATGAATTTGGGAGCATATAAATTCTGTATTTATAGATAGTAATAGTTTTTTGGGGTATTTATTAGGTTTTAATTTCACGTGTGATATTTCATGGTGCAAGACTTTATGCTAGTTAAACGTGGTGATAAGTTTAGTTTTAGACGAAGTTAAGGAAAAAAATTAAATGCATTAAATGAACCTCCAGAATCAAATTAGGTTCTTCGTATATAGTTATGCTTAAAAATATCAATCTCGGTTAAAATTACAATTTGTAGTAAATTTTGTATAGTTTTAAACATCTAAAAATTTAACTTTAAAGTATTAAGTTGATCTTATTCAATCTAGCTTCAAGTTTAGTCAAACTGAATCTCGAAAATGGAAAGTATCACATAAATTGGACCAAGGCACAGTAATTAGTAAGATGGAAACATGACTCTAATGGTAAGCTCTCTGTGCGTAGACCGTATAAGAGAGAGATCATGACTCACTCTGGGGGAATTCTTGGTCCGTGGAAACAAATATGGAAGGGCAACACCCCAACCAAGGTGAAATGCTTCGCCTGGTTGGTCACCAGAAGGGCATGTCTCACTCAGGAAAAACTCAAGAAAAGAGGCTTCCAGATTGTCTCCAGATGTTTTTTTGTCATGAGAAGGAAGAAACTAACAACCACTTATTCCTACACTGTAGGGTTACCGTCCAGTTGTGGCACATGGTTCTCAGCATTTCTCAAGATCCCTAGGCGATGCTAGAACATACTGCTGATCTTTTGAGCTGCTGGATGAGGAGAGGGGGGAGCAAGACCCAAAAAAGATGGTGGTCTATAGTACCTACTTGTGTCTGGTGGGCTATTTGGAGAGAAAGAAACCTTAGTGTCATGAGAATATTACTAACACTATTCAAAAAGTTGAAGAAAATTGCATTAACATGTTTTTTTGGTGTAAAGAAGATGGTATAGAAGAAGTAGAACAGTTGGTAGATTTCCTAGGATCTATGTAATTATGGATTTAGCTTGTAACTTTTTGGAGGTAGCCAGCATTAGCATACCCTTAATGCTAAAGAATACAACTTTAACTTTATCAAAAAGCAATAATTAGTAAGATCTAATAAATGCTCTGATTGACAACCAAAATTTGGCTCCAATGTTGACTAAATTTTACATGTGTATAATGACAA